AACAAGATACCTACATTCATCCAAAAAAATAATAATAATAATAATAATAATATATATATATATATATATACTGTCACATTAAATAAAGAGGAAATAAAAGAGATGAAAGATTATATTATATGTATCAAGTCATTCAGATGATTGTCAATGTTCTCGATACAATAAGAATTTGAAGCATCTCATATTACAGTTAAACCTTCCAGATAGTTGCTTATTCTTCCAAGTTTTGAAATGCACTTTTTCACAACCATTTTTTTTCTTTAAATTTGGAGGATGAGATGATGCAAGTGAGAGTCAATAATCATCCAAACCCCCTATAGTTTATAAGACTACGACTAAGCCAAAAGGCCAATGTAGATTTCAATATTAAAAGTATACATAGCTTCAATCCATACCAATACATAATGCAGATGCACATAATTTTTTGACAGCAGATCTCAAGTCTCAAGTCTCAACACTTTTAGACTTTCAAGTATTAACACCTAAGCCTCGGCTAAAAAGCCCACTTCACTGTACAATAAAACTAGACTGTTATTACACCTTCCAAAATTGAAATTTATTCGAGTTTTTTACATCAATGGTCTCATACAAAGCATCTATTAATATAATTCAGAAGAGCACTGTTCCTTATTTTTTAAAATTCAGATCAATACTGTTTTAATATTCTTTACTATTTTCCTATTTGATCCTATAAAAATATTATTAAGAAAGTGCACAACATGAGGTTTCTACTTTTGCTTACCATGTTGAAAGCAAGGTATAGTTAGTTTGCTACCTCTGAAACATTTTGATGACACAGACATATACAAGGAAGAGCCCAAAGTTGACAGATTTTTTGACAAACCCCAAACAAAATAAAAGTAACTGTTACAGTGTACACTTCACAAATTTTAGAGTAAAAGCTATAAGAAATTCAAAAGGCAATAACAGTATAACACTTGATAAAGATAATCAGAATAAACTGTGCCAATGTTTACAATTGCACTATCCAAAGAATAGAAGAAACTAACTTTTTCTTATCAATTTCAGGAACATCACTCTTCTCTGCCCTTTCAACAATTACCTACATTAAACCATCAACCAAATTACTCAGCAAAAAAGAAAAATGATATTATAATGACATATGCAAACATCAAAAATCAAGTCTTACTGGAATTCTATCAGGATACTTCTCCCTTATGCGAGATGCTTCGGCCTGCCTCCTTTCTGGCACAAAAAGTTTGCACATATTAGAAAACATATGTTGGACCTAAATCACCTAACGAGTAAAACAAATGCAAATTTACACACTCAATAATGATGTTTAGTTGACACTGTTTTTTCTTTACCAAGACAAAAAAAAATCCGATCGCCCGTGAATGTAAAGAGAAAGAAAAAAAAAAAAGGCATGAGTCATTAATAACAACAAATCCAATTCATAGGAAGTAAAGTAACATATCATATCATACAGAAACCAAAAACAAAACACACATCTGAAGTCTGAACTGACAAAGACAAAAAAAAAGTGCATATTTAAGTGATATAACATAGACCATTTTTTTCACTAAGCTAAATAAAATAAAAAAGCAAAAAAAAAAAATTTGAGTAAAAAGTTACATTTCCTGTAGAGTACACGTAATGAGACTCCAAAATACAAATTTTACACCCCTAATCAAACCCCAAATGGAAAATTACAAATCAGAGGTATGAAAATTCACATGGCTTCGAGTACTACCCGTGAATCCCGAGCATCAACTTTAATTCCGAATTAAAAATGCACTCAAGCATATGAGGAAATTCTGAGAAAAAGTCAATAAAAAACTAAAGAGAGAACGAACCAAGTGGGTGTTCCATTTTGAATGAGCTCTTAGCCATGGCAATAATTCTGCAGCATAGAACATAGGTTAAAATGTGAAAACAAAAATTACGAAATTAGGGTTTGGTAGAAAGGTAGCGATCAGTTGATGAACGAAAAGAACACAGGGCAAAAAGGGAGGAACAGGAATAGAATTGCAATGGGAAACGATGATGCTTACCGTAAGAGAGAGAAGAGTAAAGAAGATAGAGAAATTGTGTTTTTGAGATGAAAGAAGAAGAAACGAAGAAATTCCCTGTAAGCAAAGCAATTAAGGAAAGGAAAACCTCTTATATATCCATTTCTGTGTCAATGTCTATGCTCAACGACACCGTTTCTTAACCCTTCTAACTTGTTACACTATTAGATTTAATAAACAAACAAAAAATTAATAAATTTTAAAATATTTTCGAAATAAAATGATTTTTCTAGCTTTATGATTCTTATTTTTACAAAGATTTGGTTTATCTAATAGTATCAATTTTGGATTTAAATTTTAACCGGGATGGAGTTACAACACGAGGTACTATTTTATTTATGGAGAGTTGATTCTTATTTTTATAGGGTTGATTTAGTGGGAAAGGATTTATATTTCTTATTTTTTTTTTATATATATTTATAATGATAGTAACATGGTTATTATAATGATAATAACATGATTTTAACTTAAGATTATTTGTATTTTATTTTAATTTCTTATCATTAGGTTAATTTTAATTTTTTATTTAAAAAAATGGATCTAAATATTTTTCTTGTATTATTAATTTTAAATTTAACTTTTTTGAAAATTTTTATTAATTAGCATTTTAGTGTGCGTAATGTATAAGATAATTATTTATTTTATATAACTTCATTTATAATAAATAATTATTTTTATTATATATGTTCTATTATAATTTTTTAATTACAATAAAGAAGTAATTATGAATATATAAATTATATTTTAGATTTATATTGAATGATTTATTTTGAGATACAAAATTATTTTTAATTATTGAAAATCTTTTTCTAAAAATATATTAAAATAAATATGAAAATGTTATATACCTAAAGATAAGAGAATTATATAT